ATACGATGATGAAATCCCGTTGAAGTTTTAAGATGGATATCTATATTTAAGTTTGCAGAATATTCCATATGAGATTTCTTTTATCACCTCTCAACATCTGATTGAATTAGATGAAACACCCTTAACCAAAATGATCAAGAACACTCTTTTCGTTGGACAAGTTGATGATATCAAGGGGAGAGCTTTAGTGGTTTTTCCGGTTTTTCTTTTTATGATCGAACCAACCGAACCAACTGAATGCTGTCTGCAATAATATCCCAACATCTGATTGAATTAGACAAAGCATCCATTATCCTAAAAAATGAATATAAGTCACTTTAGATAAGATTTTATATCCGAGTTACTTTAGCTGTGAAAATTGATGGGGCGTTGCTTTCCCTGGTTGGAGTGAAAAGGATTGGCTTTGACAGGATACTACAAGACATAACACTAGGTAACAATGGCAATACCAAAATGAGTAATAACTCCAACAATACAGAGCATGAAACAGGTTTTAATTAAGATTTTTCCCTTTCTAAAAGGATTCAGTTGAGAGATGTTTGTGTTGTCATTTTAGTATTCAAACTCACAAAACATGCTTTGCAATTCCCAACATAAATTCCTTTGTGTGCAAATTTGTCCTATGGGTATGATTATTTCTTATTAATTATTATTACAAGTTTACAACGTACACAAATTTATGAATTAAATAACTTGGGAGACTTGGTCTTTGGACATGAAAAACACATGATCATCATCCACCTTCCAACATTCTCTCCAATAATTACCTTTTAATTTATGACAAAATCACATTGAACTTGTTTGTAAGTGGTTAATGATAGTTATAATTATCATAATTCATAATTTATTTAAAATAAGTTATATATGATACAAAACGATAAATTTATGTAAACATATGAATACGTTAAAAAGATATTATAAATAAGTTATATTATACATGCGTTAACACGTTAATTAAATGAGTTTAACTTGTTTAAAATATAAAATTTTGTATGAATTTAACTCGTTTAAGATATTTAATTTTATTTAAAAATATCGATACGTTTAAGACATGAAATAAGATAATTTTAAATTTAAATTCGTATAATTTTGTATGGTTATTAAGATGTGTCCAACAATTTGACGAGGTCTACTTGCAAAGCAGGCATAAAGAATGGATTCTAAGATGGTGGGAGACGATGAAACTGTTTTGTCGGCCAAATGATTGCAGCCTATACAGCTGCATGAAAAAGCATTCACTCACTTACATCTACATAAAAAGTTAAATTCCTTTAGAACCCATCGAAAGCCTGCTCCCATCATCATCATCATCATCCCCAATTCCCCATGGCGTTATTTCCAATCTTTCTCTTTATATGAACCCAGCTGAATTCCTTCAGTAATATTCCTTGTTAGTAAGTAGTAAGAGAAGAAGTAGAGAGCTGACTTAAATCACTTCGTTTCAGGTAAACATCATTCTCTACTTAACCTGTTTGTCTTTCATGCAAAGTTTAGTTAAGGTTTATGTGATGTTCCTGGACCCATGAACAGCTGGAAGATGGAAGATATGGCAGCAGCTGATGCTGGATTTGAGCATAAGAAGAAAGGGTGGAAGCAAACAAATGACATGTCTCAGACGACCATTGATTTGTTCAGGAAATATCTTCTGTCAAAACCTCAGAACCACAACGTTGGTAAGACCAACGAGGAAGAATCAGAAGCCTTGAAAAAGAAGCTTCCACCTCGAGCTCTTATCCCTTTATTGCCTCCTAAGTTTGCCTCAGCCAAATTTTCTCGACGCCCCCCTTCTTTTCTGGAACAAGAATTACTTCCAGGAATCAGGTTTGTTCGAAAACTCCTTCATCTATATGCAAATTGTACACAAACCGCAACTGAAAAATGGCTCTACCCCCTGGATTTTGCTGTGTAGGTGCAACGAAATACGAACGAATTCAACTGGTGTCGAGTCCTCAAAAGCACAGCTAACGATTTTCTATGCCGGGGTTATCAATGTGTATGATAATGTTCCAACTGATAAGGTGAGAAAACATGTTCATAATGCTTGCAATCCCATGATTTTTCTTTTACGATTATAATTAAGAACTGTAATCTAAGTAAATCAAGATATTTTAATCGATTTTGGACTCTCAAACGTTTTTTTAACACACGATTTAATTAAGATTAAATATTTTATAATCTTATGCTGTTATGTTACAATAACTTGTTACGAAAAATCTTGTTATATGCAAGACTTTTTCTATAATAATATTATGATGTGTTACCAAATTCAGGAGATGTTTAATATACTGCTTCTGTTCTATGTTGGAAATTTCTTATGGCATAGAAGGTTTAAGCATATGAAATAAATGATAGATATACGTATAATTGTTTGTAGGCCCAAGCCATCATGCTTCTGGCTGGAGAGAGCTCTCTGCCAAAGCCTATTGCAAATGAAAAGCCCAAAACCGACTCAAAAGCACCACTTCATCCACCCAACGTGGAATCTTCTTGCAAGCTACAAGCAGGTATAAACACAATTTGAAAATTAAATTAATCAAATTCTTATTAAAACAATTTTAAAATTCGAAAATGACTGATCTCGATGAATCTCAATCCATGGGTTATTTTATAGATATATTTTGAAAATATTAAGAACATTTAAAAAACATACTATTAATGATAATTTTTTTACTAATTCGATCGTATATTTTAAACACCGATAACCAATCGAATAATTGAATAAAATGTTCACCCTTTAAGGATTATGAAAACATTTCATTTTGGAATGTTAACGAGCTAGTTTTAATCGCCTATTTTCAGGCCTTCCAATTGCAAGAAAAATCTCACTTCAGCATTTTCTTGCAAAACGTCGTCACAGGTATATATTTTTCCGACAAAATTTTTGTCGAAAATATATTTTTTAAAAAATTTCAATAAATAAATAAATAAATAAATTTATCTGAAAAATCTTAGTTTTGGTTTTTGCAGGATAGGAAACAATTCTCCCTATGCACCAACTGCCAACAAAGATGAAGAGAAGCTGGCTATCAGAAAGCTAACATTAGAGAATAAGAATTCCAAAGACAATAATCACAGCATTTCGCTTTCGCCATTACCTTCAAGAATAGGATACTTTCTACCTGTTGCAGCTAACAAGGGTTGCCAGGCTTAGTACTAAGCTTAGTTACTAATATTTATATCTAACATTTTAATATTAATTATGCACTATATATGTAAACTTGAAAGCGCTTCTAAAATTGTACACAATTTTATTTTTTTCTCTATTTACTCAAATTTAGTTTAATTTAAGTGAAAATAATGCACTCAATTTCATACATACATATATATATATATATATATATATGAAATTTTTAAATGGAAGAATATACAATTTCCTATTGAAAATATTTATTTTCTGTGGATTTAATAGTTTATTCATAAAAAAATCATGCCCTCTTAATTATTCTTGGTTTTTTGACCAAAAGTTGACTGCTATGCCTTTACATTTTTCTTTTGTTTATTTGAGCATGCAAAAACGAAGATTCCATGCATAAAGTAATAAAAATTTAATTAATTTAATTTTCCTAACATAATAAAAAAAATTCTCTAGATTTATGCAAAGTGAAAATAAAAATAAAATTAAAAAACATAAAAAATCCTAATTTCAGGGCAAAATTAGGAAGAAGATGCAAAAATATACGGAGAAACCAATTTCTCGGAAAGAAAAAAACATTGACTTTCCAACCTGAGAGACAGTTGCAAATTTAACTTTCACCTGCCCAACTTCCGAACATGTCTGAAATTAACCGAAAACTAAAAGAACTGACCCCTGTCTTAAAAGTAGAGCCGTCCACGTCATCACCCTCCCCCAGTTTTTTACGGCCCGGATCTACCATAACCGACCCTCTAATCATATGCCTTTTAATAATTAATCAAAAAAAGGAAGTACAACACCGGAGAAAAAGACAAGCAGAAGCACAAGCTCCCCACTGATCCAACACCTTTTTGTTTTTCTTTTAACTGAATCTTTTTGCTTTTTTCTTTATTTTCTGTTTGTGATCTCTTCCAATGGATTCAGCGATTTCGATTGATTTAATTTTTGTTTGGGAGGGCTAATTTTATCACTCAAAATTATTGGAGAAATCATAAGGCAAAAGAAAGAGACAAAAACAATGCGAAGCAACGGCGGCTCTGGAGAATCAGCTTCGTCTCAACCGCCACGGAACCCTAGTCCGCAAAAGGCGGAGAGGCCGCCGGTGTTGAAGAAGTTCAAGACTATATCACCTGATGACCCGCGGCCCACCCCGCACTTTCCGGGCCCACTTTTCCCCGCCGTTCGTCGAGTCACCAGTCTTCGGTCGTCGTCCGATCGCCGAGGCTGCGTCGACGCCGATGCGTCCGCGAAGAACAGTAGCGGGAGCAATGTTAGTAATAATCTTAATAACGTCGATGTGAACAACTTATCGGACAGGGATTGGATGTATCCTTCATTTCTCGGGTCCCACGCTGCGAGGAATCGGGTGGTGACGGTTAAGGCGGCGTCCAAGTCGCCGAGTCGAGGAAGTGGGGGGCGATTAGTGGACGGGGTGCAGGGTAAGTTGGTGGATGAGAAGCAGAAGACTGACAGTCCTACCAAGAAGGAGGAAGTGAAAATTGTGGAGAGTCAAGTTTCGACGACTGCGACGACGACTCAATCCAGTTCGGTGAGTTCGTCGAGCGGGAGGAGGGCTCGAGGGGTTAAATTGAAGCGTTATTTCATCTTTTCTTCGGTATGGAAATCTTATTTCTTTTTCTTCTCGTAAGCAAAATCTATATGAAGGTCAAAATAGTAAAATAAACGTAAAACATAACAAATTAATTTTATTAATTTCGTAAGGAAAAAAATGAAATATAGAAATTTAGTTAAATTTATTGGTCTAAGATATTATGATTGTAATTTTTTTTATTCTTTAATTGCAGATTATTTTCAGTTGTATATTTCCTGTAAGTTATGTAATTCACCTGCGAGATAAAGTTGCCAGACTAGAGGTAATATGCATTTATATACTTTGCAGTTAAACTTCTTTCGTCGTTAAATGTTTGTCTCACTTTAATTCTTACGAAAATTAAGATAAAAGAGTTGAAATTTTTATGTATTTTATATAAAAATTTGAAAATTTTGAGAGAATTTGGACTTCTTCATTGGTTGCTTAAATGGCAAGGAACTGGACTAAAATGAATTATTCTTGGCTGAGTTCTCGGTTTCTATTTGTCTGAGGAAGGCAACATTTTTGTAGATAAGAATTTGTGATGTTTTTTCTATAACATTATGCTCTTTGGTTTAGAACATTGATTCTGGTAGTTGTTCATCAAGTTTTGTAATTAGTGTCCATCTGCTTGCAGGAAGAGAATATTAATCTCCGTAGATGGTGTAGTGAAATCAATGTTGTTGGTAACAACAGCAATGAAGTTTTGCAGCCTGAAGATGATAGTTCATTTCATTTTTTTAATAATGCTGACAGTAGAACTGTTGCTTTATATACCGTGGTGATCACACTTGTTATGCCTTTTGTGTTGTACAAATATCTTGATTATCTTCCACAAATAAAGAACATCTCGAAAAGAACAAAGCCTAACAAGGAGGAGGTTCCCTTGAAGAAGAGAATTGCATATATGGTTGATGTTTGTTTCTCTGTATATCCTTATGCAAAGCTGCTTGCGCTGCTTTTTGCAACAGTATTTCTTATTGGATTTGGTGGCTTGGCATTGTATGCGGTCAGTGATGGCAGCCTTGCCGAAGCTTTATGGCTTTCTTGGACTTTCGTGGCTGACTCTGGAAATCATGCTGATAGTGTTGGAACTAGTCCCAGGATAGTTTCTGTCTCTATAAGTTCAGGAGGCATGCTGATATTTGCAATGATGCTTGGGCTTGTCTCAGATGCTATCTCAGAAAAGGTTGATTCACTTCGAAAGGGGAAGAGTGAAGTCATTGAAAAGAATCATATACTAATTCTTGGATGGAGTGACAAATTGGTAATCCTCTCAAGTATCTTTTATTTATTTATTTATTGAAAAACTAATTGCTTATATAGAATTTTCCTAGACAGTCTTGAAGTGATACTGAATCCCTAATTTGGGTCTTTTAAGACAGTAAGTGATAGATGGCTGAAGTCAAGGGTTTCAAGATAGAAAGCCTAGGGTTTAAGAACTGATCTTCTTTATTGTAGGGTTCACTTTTGAAGCAACTAGCGATAGCGAACAAAAGTGTTGGTGGCGGAGTGGTTGTTGTACTTGCAGAAAGAGACAAGGAGGAAATGGAGATGGATATAGCAAAGCTAGAATTTGACTTCATGGGGACATCTGTCATATGCAGGAGTGGGAGTCCTCTGATATCGGCTGATTTAAAGAAGGTAATTTGACATCGTTATCATTTACTTCTTTCATTTTCCAATCTATGTTGAGAGCTTTAAATCGGTTTAAGATTAAATGGATGCCAGATGAACCCTGAAGAACATTCAATGGGTTGTTGCTCTTATTTATGTTTTGATCTTTTCATTTTCCCCCTTGTTTTTGCTCATTATGCAACTGCATTTGGAATGATGTTGTTTTCAATTACAGGTCTCAGTATCAAAAGCGCGTGCCATCATTGTATTGGCATCTGATGAAAATGCAGATCAGGTTGCTCAAAACTTTCAGTTTCATCATGTTTCTCAACTTCTATTATTTCTAGAGAAACATTAATGATTCTGTATTCTTGTTACCAGAGTGATGCACGTGCGTTGAGGGTGGTACTCACTCTAACTGGAATAAGGGAGGGTTTGAGGGGTCATGTTGTGGTGGAGATGAGTGACCTTGATAATGAGCCCCTGGTGAAGCTTGTTGGGGGAGATCTGATAGAAACTGTTGTTGCACATGATGTGATCGGGCGCTTGATGATACAGTGTGCCCTGCAACCTGGCCTTGCACTGGTTATTTGCTTATTTAGATGGCACTTTTAAATTACATAAAGGACTCTTCTTAGTTTATAGAAGAATGTCTATAGTAATTATCCATGAAATTGAGAAAATTTTGTTATTCGGGGATAAAGTCTTATTCACTCGTTCAGGTTTGGCTACATGAATCTTGGTTCGATGAAATGATTAGACTATTTTCCAAGTTATGTGCCTAATTGCTTTCTGAGCACCTCAAGTTGCATTATTTTTGGTCTTTCCCTGTCCTTTTAGCACTTAAGACTGAAGTGGCACTTTATGTGCCTAGTCTTTGTTTTGATTTTTGTAACATTTGTATTGATAGCATATCTTCATAATTCCAAGCAAATACTTATCCTGAGATTTTTTTATCAATTGAAAATAATTTTTTCCCTTTAATTTGATTTTTAGTTTTGTACTGTCAGATATGGGAGGATATATTGGGGTTTGAGAATGATGAGTTTTACATCAAAAGGTGGCCTCAATTGGATGGTATGCAATTTGAAGATGTGCTCATTTCGTTTCCTGATGCAATTCCCTGTGGAGTCAAGGTTGCTGCAGATGGTGGGAAGATAATCCTAAATCCAGATGATAATTATGTACTAAAAGAAGGGGATGAAGTCCTTGTTATAGCTGAGGATGATGACACTTATGCTCCTGCTCCAATTCCAGAGGTAATTTTTCTTTTCTTTTATCTCTGTAGCTGACAGCATTCTTGAAAGCTGAAGCACTAGTAACTTATGAAGTTTTGAAGCTAAAACTTTTACTGATTTTCTAAAACCATGTTCATAATATCATATTCAGTTAATAAAAAGCATACTAATGTATCATTTAATTATAGTAATTGCTTGCGTTTCCTCCTTAATCCTTTCAATTCTTTTACACAAGAGCAGTGGTCCTTCAGGTGTCTTTTCTTGTTTGACATGCTGCATTGCAGGTGCGTAGAGTTGATTTCCCAAAAGTACCTGAACTTCCAAAATATCCAGAGAAGATACTGTTCTGTGGCTGGCGCCGTGATATTGATGATATGATTATGGTAATGCATTTGCTTATTGTTCTGAATTTTATACGTTTTACTTTTCAATAGCCCTTTTGTTAGGATGCATTGGAAGACAATCATGCTTATATATCTACATACAAAGAGAACAAGGGAATAATTCAATACTCATGGAACAGAATAGTGATAAAAAATTAAGAAAATTGAAGTTTATAGATACTCTGTTTCAGTCACATCTTGCTTATATGTGGACCCATGTTTCATTTTTCAGGTTCTGGAGGCATTTCTGGCCCCTGGTTCAGAGCTGTGGATGTTTAATGAGGTTCCAGAAAAAGAGAGAGAGAGGAAACTGATTGATGGTGGACTTGATATTTCTGGATTAGCAAACATAAAACTTGTCCATCATGAGGGAAACGCTGTCATTAGAAGGCATTTAGAAAGCCTTCCTTTGGAGACTTTTGATTCTGTAAGTTGTTGTATCCTCTCGTCTTTTCCAGTTGGCCTATCTCCAGAGTACCTTTAGTTTCTGTTCCCTCACTCCAGCATTCATTGTTGGTTATAAAACAACTGATTACTAACTCTAAAGGACAGATTTTAATTCTTGCAGATGAGTCACTGGAGGACTCTGTAGTTCATTCAGACTCGAGATCTCTTGCCACCCTTCTCCTTATTCGAGACATACAGGTAAGTGCTATGCTGTCTTTCAGCTTATGCAAACAAATTAGGTTACTGAAATCCTTGATTATGATTACTTACTCTTTAGTCTTTCCTGTGGGTGGTTTGATTCTATGCATAGTATAAACTAGTTTTCATATAATATGAGATAGGGTACCCTACTTATTAATAGAGTTCAAGATAAGGTACCTCAAAATTATTGTGTACCTTATCTGTTGACAACCCTATATAATATAAAGCAATATCTTTTAGCTTCTTTGTGGATAGAGAAAAGAGGTCCCCAGGTACCAATTCACTGACAAATGCTGACATGAACAGACCACCAGAACAGGAAAGAACTAAACAGTAAGAAATTAGCAATCAAGGATTTTTTTAACCATCTTTAATAAGTAGTGTTAGACTCATTATTTATTGAAATTCCTGACCCTGACTCATACTGTTGCTTCCTTTGTGGATTGCAGTCGAAACGTCTCCCTTATAAAGATACAAAGCCAACTTCTTTACGGCTCGCTGGGTTCTCTCACAGCTCTTGGATCCTTGAAATGCAGCAAGCTTCTGATAAATCAATAATCATTAGTGAAATTCTGGACTCTAGGACAAGGAACCTGGTTTCAGTCTCCAGAATCAGTGATTATGTGCTTTCAAATGAGCTTGTAAGCATGGCACTGGCAATGGTGGCTGAAGACAAGCAAATAAATCGTGTTCTTGAGGAACTGTTTGCAGAGGAGGTAACTCTTACACCCCATTCTTTTTCCGATGAAGAATGTTTACGCAGATAATCAATACCATTGTCACTTTCAAAATGAGAGCTACACAATCTATTCTAAATTGCTAGCTTCTTTCTTTCTGCAGGGGAATGAGATGTGTATCAAACCGGCAGAATTCTATTTATTTGACCAAGAGGAGCTATGCTTTTATGATATAATGATCAGGGGTCGCCAAAGACAAGAAATCGTCATTGGCTATCGCCTTGCGAATAATGAGCCTGCGATCATCAACCCTCCGAAGAAGTCAGAATCAAGAAAATGGTCTCTTGATGATGTTTTTGTTGTCATCTCATCAGGTTCTTGAACATGACTAGATCTATACTTCCCTCTGCCATAGTTCTGTAGCTACCATCCTCCGCGTTCCTACCACTATTAACTGTAACTAGAGTTGTACTGAGAAGGATTATCTCCGTGAAAGAAGTTAGGTAGAAGCCTTAACCGTAGGCTCTTAACCCGGCGATTATGTTATACGAATTGCACAAGATTGTTGCTAAGAAAATGAGCTGATTTTTGTTCAAAGCTGATGCAGATACAGATGTGAACTCCACTGAATTCACAATTTGTAATTTTTGGTGAAATACAATTCGATACAGAACAAAATCATCACGATTGGATAAAACTCACAACCAGGTTTTTACTCACATTACAATCTTTGTTCCCACATTCTATCCAACAATTTATGCAGAATATAAACATATTTTTTACCAAAATGGCATCAACATCCGATCTCTGTTCAGCGATGTCAAAATGATATGTCCAACATGTCCACCACCAAGTTCTCCATCATCGTGGCAGCTACCCAAGAACAGGGTGTCTCCCTGCTTTGCTTCCCTGTAGTTTTCAATGAATGTTAAAACAGAGCTTTTTTGCAAGCATTTTTGAGAGAATTAATCCAGTGAATGTACAAACAAAAACCCACCATATATTGAAGAAACTGCATGGTTACTGCTAGGATTGGGTAACTTGAGAGGGCAAGAGGAGAGTGGAAGAACGGGAAGGTTCTGACAGTTGCATATCTCAACCATGTAGCCATCTGGGTCGTGGAAGAACAGCTGATCTACTTTAATCCCACCTTCTTCCACCACTGCTGTCACGTACTCGATGTTCATCTCTACCAATTTTTGCATCACCAGGTTCATATCAGAGCATTGGAATGAAATATGGTTGTCTTTTGGGTTGATTTTCTCTTTCTTTGTTGGAACACTCTCTGATTCTAGCAAATGGATGCCAACTCCGTAATTGAACAACCTGAAAAAGAATACCCTTTTTCAGATCATAATTCTACTCAGCATCTGTAGCAGATTTACGCAATTGATTCGCATCTTATAAAGGATTTTGGGTTTAGAACTGGCTTGGAAGTTGCAATCAACATGGCAAATAGTGTCAAGTGCTGTATAAATTACTCATTCAATCTGTTTTAAGGAGAAAAAAAATGAAATCAAAACACCCAATGATTTCTACCAATGAAGGATTAAATGCTGAAACTGGAAAGCATGGTGTGACGAGTGAATGCTTCAAACATGAAGCATAAGCATTAAGAACCCATAGCCCTTATGAGATATGAAGATTTCTTGAAAGTCAGTGAATGATGAAGATGGATGAAATGCTAATTTAAGATCATATACTCTGTTATCTAAGAATTATTAAGTATTATTGAAAAGAAAAAGTGATAAGCACAACAGGTTAACTTGATTATGATCTTAAACAAAGCAAAATCAAGACAAGTTAGAGAAAAAAAGGAGTGGTAGCAGGCATACCAAGCTCCTTCAAACTTGAAAGAAGAGGGGCGTTTGATGAGCACAAACCCCAGAACTTCCTCATAAAACCTCACTGATCTGCTCACAGAATTGCAGACAAAAGAAACATGGTTCAAAGACAACAAAGGCAGTTTTGTTGAGGTTGAAGACAACCATTGCACCTCTTCTATTTCTCCTACATTTCCCATACTCTCTTTCCTCTCTCTCTCTTTCTATCTCTCTTTTCTTTCTCTCTTCTTTTAGTCTCAAACAGCTTCTCAATACTTGACACTGCTTGCAAATTGCAATGCAGCTATGCAAAGTATACTTGCCAAATGAATCCTATGATGAACCCTTTTTATAGACACTGAAAATTCTATAATGAAAAAAAATAGTGTTTAATGTTTTAATCATTTTTTTAGTGAAAGAAGGCAAAGCCAACTGTATGATCATGATATGTGGAAAGGCAGAAGGGGACAACCGATTGTACGACAAGAATAATAATTGAAAAAAGAAAAAATAAACACATGATTTTTCTTTGTTTCTTTTTCCATTTTCTTGGGTTTTTTCTTCCTTGTATAGTCAGATTCTTGGATTTGATCTTATCCACAAAAACTACTTCCTTTCTCTTACAATTCCATATTTGAAGCACATGGTTTGCATTTCCTTCCTTGTATGTCGGTGTCATTGAAGTGGTTGTGCCTAAACCAAAGTGTTCTCACATATTTTTGTCTGCTCCAAACCTTGTTGAAACTCTTCTTCTCACTCTTGGGATCATGAGTTATGTTCTTCAATTGGGTTCTGTTGTTCAAGGGTTAGTCTGTTCATCATCTTAAAGCAAAGTAGGGGTTGCCATGTTAGGTAATTATTACAAGCATTTGATACAAAGGGAGTATTTATTGTCTCCCAACGTGCTTCATTCATTCAATCTTTTAAAGATACTCACAACGAGGATGTTGATCTTTTCTTGCTAGTGAATTCCTCCTCAAATCCCAATTTTCCAATTTCACATGACTTATTTCTAGGATAATTGATGACATTGGGACTTTAATTTGTTAAAAGCCAGATATTGGTCAATGCTTTTGATCTTTTCCTCTTTCCCCAGCTTCAATCAAAATAATTAAAATCATATTTAAATATCATGAAATCATTTTCGAATCTCTTAATTCTCCTAAATTGATATAGATTTAAATTAAAAAAAAAAACCCATATGATTCTTAATTTTAATAAAAAATTAATTATAACATTTTTTGTGGAGATGGTATATGACAGGTGAGCTGAGGTTGTCAATAGTCTGATGCATTTAATCAACTGTTAAGTGATTAACCAGTTTGTCAAGTCATCGATCACGCGAACAAAATTAATTGATTAAAATTAATATTAAGATTAAGGCCTGTGCTATGAAATCATTTTGGATTCTGCTGAATTGTATAAACCAAACCTTTTCCCAGGTTTCAAGTTAAAAATCTGATCATATTTTCCAGATCTTTCAAAATATAAAGATGTGGAAACCTGCGACTGAGACAATGTTTTCCCCCACAAACTACCAAATGGGAAAGGAAGAGGAGTGGGGGACTGGGAGGGCTGTCGTTTCGTAGTTGGCAGTAGGTAGATGGGAAGCACATGGTGGGTACAGTTCTTGGTTTGTACAGCCTTCTTCCATCTGAGACTTGATAAGTCTGATGAGAGATTCTTACGTTTGGCTGTGAAATGATAAGAGAAGGAGAAGGGAAGAGAAGAGAAGCCCATTTCTCTGTTGATAAGAGCTGACTAACAGTTATTCAAGCCACATCTGGTTAGTACCAACCCCGCCTCGTTTGCTTTTTGCTGTAGAATTTCATCATAGATAATAAGATCAACCCATGACTTCCCTGTCCCCCCGTACAGCTCACCAAATCCCTCACAAGATAAGCACTCAAGGCTTAAATAATAATAAAAAATTCTTAAATATATCTATTTATATAATTAAATTTATAATTTTATATTATATTTAAATAAATTAACATATAATTTCAACATAATATACCGATATATAATAATAATAAATAATATAATATTTTGATGTAATATAATTATATTTTTTTTATTTTTTCATTAATATTAAGTCAACAACACATAAATTAAAATAATAAATACAATTTAATTAAATATAAAAAAAGTATAATTTTTTAAAATAATTTAAAAACTTTTTCTAATATTATATATTTTTTTCAACTTTTTTAATGTCATTTTCAGAAGTTAATTATTGTACCCTCCAAGGGCCACTATAGTACAACCAATAAATGCAGTTGGGGCCAAGTTTTGAATTATGATTTTTTGGTTTAATTTTGTGACAAATAATGATGGGGATTTTTTTTATTTTTATTTTGTTGCCTTTATTTCCTTTGCATTGAAGATTTTTTGGCTTCAAGTGGGACCTGCCGGATATGATTTTTTTGTACAGATCAATGCAATTAAAACTGGTGGGCATACTTTTTTTTTTTAATTAAAAAAAAAATCTTAGATAACTAAAGTTAATTTTTAATTTAATTATATTCAAAATATTTAATTCATTAATTAATATATTATTTTTTTATTTAAAGAGTAAGGTACGAATATATTTTTTTTAATTATATAAAATAAAAAATTAAAGCTAATCCAATTAAATGTGATAAAATAACTAGTATTCTAAATTTCTAAGAGTTCTTATCAAAAATCTGAAAACATTTCAATCAACCCTGATCATGTGAAAAGCATGCTTGACCTTTATCAGTGAAATGGAGAAGAAACGAATAAACAAAGAAAGATGCAGTTAGCGTGAGTAGAGCCATGCTGCTGTCGGCCTATTTAAACCCAGTGGGCCTTTGGTAGGGGGCCGGCTCACTGCTTCACCATAACCTCTCGAACCTTGGGAGGCGAAACCATAGACACTCTTAAAAGGCTGTGGTCATAATGAGTATTTTATACTCAGAATATCTTATATTATTTGATTTGAATAAATAGAATTAAAGTATTTTATAATTAGATTTGAATAAAATTTAAATTGAAAGTATTATTGGTCATGATTTTGAATAGTTTAAAATAGTGATCATAAAATATTTATTATTTCAAGTCAATTATAAATCTTAGTTTTATTTATTATTATTTTTGTTTATAGATTACTTATAATAAATGTGATATTAATAAATTTTATTAATTATCCTAAATATGATTTTTTTTACTTTTATATATTATTATGTTAACGGGAAACACAAGTCTAATTGATTGAAATTCAGCTTTTTAAAGGAAAGGCATTAGAATATTACAAGGGAATAGGCAGAGTGGCATGAAGACTGCAGAACAACATCATTACCATTTAGATGCTTCCATTGCTATAAAAAAGACACTTCATATAGCTTCGATTTGTTCATATATTTCGATACTACTTTTTGCTTTCTGATCACAGAACTGTCATCCTTGAGTATTCCTCCGGTCTAGAAACAACTTTTGAACCCAGTGTCAGTGGGCATAACAGTGTTTAAAAAGGAGTTATTCCACCTGATCTGTACTGCTCCCATGTGATGTGAGTAATGACCACTTTTTTGTTTACAATGTGAATTAGTTCAAGACCCAATTATGGTTGTTGGTTCAGTATAAAAATTGTTTGTTTAATGTTCAACTTCCTCATGCTTACAATGTTTTGTATATGCTCTAAGTTTTCTCCTTGAGTTTTGTGATGATGACTCCTTTAGTCCCTTGTAATGACAGATAGATGTCTTTGTAGGCCAAAATCTCACTAAAATGTATTACCACATTTGTAACAATAGCTTTGGAGTTTTTCACCAGGGTCTGCACCCAGTTGAACAATTACCACTTCCATTCCTTCAAGACAACCATGAACTTTTATGCTTTGCATTTGGCATCCCCAAATACCTCAACACAACTATTTTCAATCAAGAATATTTAACATGGGAAAATAACACAAGTATTCCTGGTTTTTGACAACCAAGTATGTGCTAAGCCTTGAAACAGTTCTTATAATATTTCTGAAAATTTCAATGACCAAAGGCTTCAGCACAAAGCCAGTCTGGTTGCTACATCTTTCATTTAAACATGACAAAAAACAATATTCATGTTTGACATTAAATTTCTGGCACTATTAAACAAATTTGTATCTTTACAGTTAGCCATTCCGTAATCTTCGATTGTATGAACTTATGAAGTTCAATGGATTCTTCAAGCTTGAAATTCATTGTATAGGACAAAGGAGAAGCAACCTAAGAAGGAAGTACCGCTATATAATTTCATTAAAACAGGTCTCAGGTATCCAGCACCTCTACAGCCACAAACCAAGGGTTTAAAAAACATCCAGGTTTATCCAAGGGCATTTCCTGAATAGTGAACTTCCAGATTTGTCCAAGGAAGAATTTATTGATCAGTATTTTCCATACAATTTGCAGCAAAACGGTTCCCCTGTCTAATTCTAGTATCCTCAAACAGAACATCTCCATGCAGAATCTGAGTCCATGTTGAGCTAATGCTTTCTGTAGTTTAATGCTTGGCAATTCTAAATCATCAATAACTTCACATCACTTATACAGCATTTCTTCTCAAAGTACGCTCCATTTTTCACATCACTTGCACAATTGCCTTGCTCCTTCCAATCATCTCATCATCTTTCCTGTCACATAACTACTGACATCATCAACTTCGAAAACCAACAGTTCGAGAAATTGACCATCCTTCTAAGACCATGCTCAGTTTATGCTTCCTTCTCTAGCAGTGATGCAATTCTAACACTGGTTGTCAAAGAAAATAAATGCAATCAAAGCTTTCTCTAGCAGAATTCTCTAGCTCTTCATCTCAAGGTCATGCCTCTGATATTTATGTATCTATTATCTGTGTTCTCGATGTCTCATCATTGGAAACATCCTCAAACTCCGAATCAGACAACTCATTCAAATCCTTATTTTCCCCCATACTCTTATCATCTTCTTTCATAACTTGTCATTTATCAGCAGAGGGCATAACCTCTCTTCTCCTCCTAAACCTTAAAACACCACCACTTTTCCAAAACTTATCCACCTTATTCATAAGATGAATGTACCTAAACCGCATACCCATCAATGGATGTTTCTCTACCAAGAAATCTTTCCTATAAGCTTCCCTAAGCACCACAGTCTGTGTCCTAATCTTATTCGAAACATAAAAAATCCCGGGAAAATGTACCAACGCCTTCTTAAATCGATTCCCAAACCCTAAATAATCTCCCAAACAGAACACATTCACTCTTTCCGTCTTTTTTGACGCCAACAGCCATAACAACTCGTGAAGCACTGCCACAGTCCATTTTTCCGCCTGATCACTATTAGGCCCCAAATGAAAGGCGTTCTCATAAGGCGAAATGTAGGGCAAATCTTGCCACGTGTCAACCCAATTCATCACCTTCTTCTCCAAATCAAACCCGTTGGGTAATTTCATCGAAAACCATAACGGCATTCGTTTTTTCACTTCCCTACCTCTATAAAGGGACGCTCTCTTTCCCATTTCCGAAACTGCGAGCTCTTTTCTCCAAGAAATAAGCTCTAAAACAAGGGTTTCTTTACCATCAAGAGGATTTATACTTTCACAAATTTGGAAATATTCAGGATAATCAGAAAGAAGAAAAGTAATGTAATCAGAGGGAAGACCCAGATCAAATTTGAACTTGTCTATGATATGCAACGGCAGCCTACCTGATTTAGCCAGCATTAACAGCTTAGCCAGCGTCTTCACGGCGTCGTTTCGATGAGAGGGAGAAGTGTGAATGGCTAGCTCTTCCTTATGGAGAGTCATGGCTTGAGGGGTGAGCTTGACGTGGAGAGGAAGAGAGGGAGAGGGTTGGAATTGGGAGAAAATGGAAGGGTACTTTTGGAAAACTTTGGAGGTAGAGGTGGGGAGATTGAAGTGAGGTTTGAGAGGGGAGAGAGAGGAAAGGGGGAGGGAATTAGATGGAGACGAGACGATTTGGTTTTTGAGAAGAAGGATTTGTTTGAGGTTTTTCTCTCTCTCAACAGCGTTGTCGAGGTATGGGTCACGAACCCATTTGATCTTGGCGTCGACGAAGGTCCGCACCAGATGCAGCCGGTGAGCGACTCTGGTGCAGAGCGCCATGGTTATCGTTGCAGGCGGGAAATGCTGTTTTTTGTGTTTGAACTTTTAACCGTTTATAATATAGTTCCATAGAAGGACAGAAAAGAAAATTGAATAAAATAATGGGGCAAAAGGTAATTATACCAAGATTATTATTAATTAATAATTGTTTTTTCCATCGATTCAATTATAAATTTTAAACATAAAAAATCGATCAAAATTATTACATAATTCAAATCAAATAATTGATGAAAAGTAAAATCAAAACAAACCAAACCTAATTAACCACATCTAATCTTTTTCATTTATTTAATTAAAATCGATTAATATTCACTCCTACTAGTATTTAATGGTTTTAATTACAACCATTGCGCATTCTTCTTTGTCAAAGGCTGAAATTAAAGATAAAATTGTGTGAAAAAATGGAGAGGAATAAAGGTCATGGTGATGGTATAGCTTTTAAAAGCTCTTTATTGATCACTATTTATTCATTTAATTGTTTATATTAGTTTAATATTTCAATATTGATATTTTTATTTATAATTATAATGACTAATTGAATTTGTTTGTCAAGTTATTTAAACTTTATGATAATGTATAAGACAAGGATTTAGTTTGTGTATACCTAATTAAGCATATTAAATTGTGGTCCTTGGCCTCCAAATTAAAAATCAAATCTCTTATTATAATTTTTTTAAAATTTCAAATTATTATAATTAAATTACATATTATTACCTTTTTGGTCAAATTTTTAATAACTAAATTAAATTGACGATTGACATTATTTTGAGTTATTGTATTTTTTCCCTTTATTTCCTTATTTTTTTTGGTGCACCCCCACTTTTTCTATTTTTTCATTAAGAGAAAAAAAATTTGAAAAATTATTTTAAGCAAGAGAATATGTATTACGGATCTAAATTTTTAATTTAAAAAATATATTTATTAGGTAGAGAAAAGTTCTTACTTAAAACTTGTACTTATAAAAGAAGGATCTACTTTAGTTTGGATCTACCTCAATCTTGAAGGTTTTATAGTGATGAAGAATTAGGTATATTTTGATATTACTTGTCATAAGTTTTGCATTTTTAACCTAAAAATATGCTTATTAAATAAAAAAAAATCTTATTATAAGCTTAAAATTCATCCCATCTCTTTTTCATACGAATTTCATAATATGTACACATACCAATAATCATAATTTTTATTTCTTTCTTGATTATGAGCCATCTTTAGAACCGTTTTTCATTCTTATTACCTTTTTAATTGACCATCCCTTCCCCTCCTTATATCTTTTTTATTGGAGTAACTTTCACTAACACTTTAATTACGAGATCAATATTTTCCTTTCAAATCTAAAATTTTGATAAATTAAAAAACAAATTAACAAAGTAGGTATTTTATAAACTTTATATAACAATCTCACAGTCGAAGCCGTCTTAGCTCAGCCGGTAGAGCGCGTGGCTTTTAACCACGTGGTCGTGGGTTCGATTCCCACAGACGGCGCATTTGGGCTTTTCTTTTATTTTTCCATTTTTCCATTCGTCGATTAACCCGGTAAATATTTATTTCAATATTTTTCTAACCAAACCTTCCAACCACCACTCAGAGCCGGGAATCCCAACGTTCACATATCCTTCCATCCTTTCTATTTCTACAAAGGAACTCCCTCTCAGCTTTCCGATTTGTTCCCAGAACCTCCGTTACTTCCCCCGATGGGCTGCGAAACCTTGGCGGCAAACGCCGCCGTCTCTCCCTACGATCTTCTATTCCAAGCGCTCGCTCTCATCCCCGTCTCCCATTATTTCGTGGCCGCTTTCTTAATATTTCTCATATTTCTATACAATTTTCTCGAGATTCATTTCCTTCGCGATTTGCTCACTCTTTTCAGAGGCGACCCTGTTACCTTAACTTACAACTCTTGCTCCGACCTCTGCCAATCAGTCGTTGCCAAGTGTAAGATTCTTCACGGAAGGTAATTGTTTATTCCGAAATTTCTCGATTAATCAGTTGAAAATTTCAAATTTTGAAAGGTTCTGTTCTTGTTTTGTCTTTCTTTACAAAATTTGAATTAATGGAGCAGGTACTCGGTGACTCCATGGCTTTCGAGTCCTCATCTTCAGACAGCTTTCTTGAATATTTTTGGACGGGCTCCTCCGGTTACTTATAGACGGTGAGTTCAATTCTTTTCCCTTCCTATTTTCAACTTCATTGTTTTAGATAAATATTAATGTACTATTAATTATTTACAGACATTTATTCCGTGCTTTGGATGGTGGAACAATTGCTTTGGATTGGCTAACTTATTCTGATGGTCGGTATTTAATTTATTCATCTGCCTATGATTTTTTATTTAATTTTGTTAATAAGCCTGGTTGTTTGAATCATTTCTCTAATTATTGAAATTGAGGAATATTTGGCCTGATTTTCAATATTATGCATCTGTAACTAATTACAGTTGTGGAAGGTACTTCCCGTGTAATTGATAGTTCCGCTGCTCCTAAAGGTGATAAAACTCCGATTATGATTGTGATTCCTGGCTTAACCAGTGATTCTTCGTCTGCTGTAAGTTCTATCTATTTCTCTTGCATTCTATGTGCTAAGTTAGCTGGCTTTTATGTAAATTTTTTTCTTTCGTTTGTTTTGTTTTAAGTACTTAAGGAAGTGTTGCTGTGTGAACAGTATGTGAAGCATCTTGCCTTCAACATGGCAAGACAGGGTTGGAATGTTGTTGTAAGCAATCACCGTGGGCTGGGAGGTGTATCACTTACGGTGTGTTTTAATGGGACCTTATTTTTGTTTTTTATGTAGATTCTGAAATTACCATTATCAGAATTCTTAAGTTGTTAGCTAACAGAATTTCGTCATTTTTTAATATTTATTTTCAGTCTGATTGCTGTTATAATGCTGGATGGACGGAGGATGTACGGAAAATCATTGAGCATATACGTTGTGAATATCCAGAAGCTTCTCTCTATGCTGTTGGAACTAGCATTGGTGCAAATATTCTGGTATATGAATTGTTCTGATGTTCTTCATTTTAATGTTTATTGGCATCATGAATGTAGTTAAGTATTGCAGCTTGAATGTCATTTTGACAACTTTCCTTGGAAGAGATAGTGCTTCTATTTTTCTTTTTTAGCTGAATTGTTATTACTTAACTTTTAGATTAGTATTTGATGTTTTGTTGTTGAGCTCCCATCAGGTTAAGTAAAAGAAATATCAGTTATAATACTGAGTTAAATTTGGGTTTTCCTGTTTGGAGGATGAATATAAATCCATATTATCAGTAACATCTTTAATATCTCTTTTGACACTGTCTTGATCCTATTGTACAATTTTTGCTGTAAAAACGACACAGCCTTCACAGGCTAATGTATCCGTAGGAATGTCCTTGTTCTGTTTGATAAATGGTTATCCATATTGCTAAATACTCATATATTTTGTTTTTTACATATAAACAGTTGTTTTATATAATATGCAAGCCCAAATATATGTTTTCCCCTCATTAAGACTGAGTTCTACTTTCAGGTAAAATATCTTGGAGAGGATGGGGCTAATACTCCTCTTGTTGGGGCTGCAGCTATATGCTCTCCTTGGGACCTCTTGGTTAGTATCTTTCTCTCTATCATACAACCAAAGTTCAGAGCTCTATTTGATCTGCATTTTTGGATTCTAGAGGGTTGAATCTGGCACCTCTCCCCACTTCTCTTTCTGTTAGGTTCTATCTCACTAAAACGAAGATACATTTACGTTTTCCCTAAAATGGGGCAAAAAAGAGAGAAAAGGGGGATTGATAGTAAGATAATTTGGCTCTTGCTGGGATCCTTGTGTTGCATTAGAGTGTAAACTATCCCTTTTGGAAATAAAGTTGCTTGCATTTTGTTGTTGGGGTAATTGCTCACTGAAGCCCCATATTAAGGTTCAAGATTAGAACGACAAGTAGAGATAGTTAACTGGCATTAGGTCTATCTAGTGCCACATGACCTTACCAAGCACCAAGTAATTCCCTGGCTTATACAGGTTATCAGTTGAAAAGATGGTACATCATTGGTGCTTAAATGTGTAAGCATTTCCTAATGCAGATACCAAGGGAGAACACCTTCTGTTGCTGCCACTATTGCCAAGGTTATCATGAATGGCTGTAGTGGTCACAGTGGGACCACTTTCTGCTTAAAACACTCTCACTAATTCTGTACCTCTTTCTCTCTGGCAAACTCCTACTGAAAGCCCAGCCACTTCATCCTCTTTTTGGAATGTTATGTACTAAATCTCTTCCTTGCAGATATGTGATAGGTTCATCAACCGTAGACCTGTGCAGAAAATATATGACAGAGTGCTAACAGTTGGCCTGCAAGGTTATGCACAATTGTATGTCTGAATTACTTCGTTTTGCAGCATCAGTTTACTTATTTAGAGTTTGTCTATACATAATATACTTTGTGCTTTAATGCAGGCATCAGTCTATCTTGTCTCGTCTTGCAGATTGGGAATGCATTAAAAAGGTACTCGATAGTTTCTTGATCTGAAATGAAAATCAACCAGGCTGATCATGTAGCCAAAGCATTTTAGAGGAATAATAAAATAAGTTAAGAGTGAAATTGCCACCTTCTTTGGCGCAGGGAGTTAGGTTTAGAAACTGAAAGTTATAGACATACTAGATCCTCAATGGCATTAAACTCTTGCACCAAATCCAGTGATGCCTCATCTCACATTTTCTTCATCCTTCTTTAGTCCTAACAGTGTTTGAATGAAATTGTCAAATTTCCTTTGTTTTCCTAATGAAATATCTCCTAATTCTTTTCTGCTTGTGTTTTCACAGTCAAATTCGGTTCGGGACTTTGACAACCATGCTACTCGTGTTCTTGGAAAATTTGAGGTAAAAAATCATTATTTCAATTCCTTCCCATATTTCCAATTACTAATAAAGGCCACCTTGTGTTCCAGACTGTGGATGCATATTATAGGCGTTCAAGCAGTACTAATTATGTAGAAAACGTGTCAGTGCCTCTCCTCTGTGTCAGTGCCTGGGATGATCCAGTGTGCACCAGTGAAGCTATTCCATGGGATGAATGTAGGTAGGAAATCACCTTCAATACTATGATTACCTTTCTTTAAAAGCTTTTTTTCCTCTTTGTTTTTTTGGTGGTAACTCAGACAAATAAATGGTGTGTCTATTTCCTGCAGAGTCAAGTGTAATCAGAAACCATTTGATTCCTTATTATTGTTTATAGATTTATATGTATTTAATTTGAAGTTCCACTAGAATATCATTCGTAGTTAAGCATGACCTATTTTGTTGTATGAGCTCTTTTTGTGTTACTTACATTGCATCTCTCTTTTAGTACAATTAACACAGCAGTCACAGCAAGGTGGGTTATAAGCAGAGTATATTTATTGTGACATTAATGAAAAGCTAAACTGCTAACACTAAAAATTTGTCATAATATATTGGTAGTATACCCTGCTGATGTTGCCAAATGCTTGATAATTTTCTCCATTTGAATGATAGTATCATAATGTTTTTTTACCTGTGTTCCATGTCAAGCATTAAAGTGAAGCCACTGATATTCCATCATTGCCTAACAAGTAATAACATTATACTTTATGTCCTTTAAAAGCTAACCTTTCATTTGGTTTTTTCTAGGGCCAATGAAAATATAATCCTAGCTACTACGGCACATGGTGGACATCTGGCTTTCTATGAAGGGATAACTGCATCTAGCTTATGGTAAATTTTGTTCACCCAGGTTAGCGATGATACATACATACATATATATAGACAACAGACATGCATCTTTACCTGCTGGGAAAAACTCATATTCAAGTATCTACTTTAGACTGGATCTCCCAGTTGATGATTACACAAGAATCAGCAAAAAAAGATCACTATAATTGGTGGGGTTGTTAGTGAAAATCAATAAGTACTCTTCATGATTGAGGACCTTATGTGACATGTTATGAATATATATACTTGCACATATTTTTCAATTTTTTTTTCTTTAGATACTAGTAACTGTACCTGATTACATAGCAAGTTGTAATTTAAAGTTCATTTGTGTTTGAATTGCATAGTTTTATATTCATGAAATTGCAGGTGGGTAAGAGCTGTTGATGAGTTCTTAGGTGTTCTACGCACTAGCCCATTTAGAAGGCAGAAGGCAAGTAGTTTTGTTTTGTAGGAAACAGTTGTTATACTTAAACTGAACTAACACAGTTATATCTTCACTTCCATTTTGTGATAAAGCAAATTAGTCATTTCTCCAAAGGCAAGAGTTCTAAGAGTTAAAATTCTCTTGTTCCAGCCAAGTAATAGAATTAAAATTCTCGACTTCTATGTTTTGCTGCAGCTCCAAGGTTCTACCTTGCCCAAGCCAGTGCAATCTTCAATAGATCAGGGGCCTTATTTAAATGTAATGGGAGATGGAATGGTGACGGCAGCAGGCAATGAACCAAGAGATATTGTACCAGCGGACATGTCAAATGAGCATATGGTTCACAGTAAGAAAGAAGAAGACACAATTTCAGGTCAAGGAACAAGCCCTGACTTGACAGATGAAACATACTCTAACAAGCACATCATGAAGCAAGCAGAACAAAATGTCAAGGATTTGATTGTGCCTGTCCAAAGATGTGTTGATCAGCTTTCTCGCCGGAGTAGGCAATCAATCTGGTTGCTGGCATACATTGCCATTATAACAACTTGGCCGTTTGTTGGTTCTGTTCTTATTTCAGTTCTCAAGAGAAGGTTCAAAACTTTTGTACCGGCTACATTATTTAAAAAATAGAGTTACTTCTACTGCACTGAATTCTACTCAATCATGATTATTAGTCCCTTTCGAGGGATAATAAAGATGCTAACTGCATCTTGATTAAGAAGTATGCACAGTGTGAATTTTGCCGGAAATCGGTGATGATTCCTCCATTGTTGTATCAGAAAATAATTTCCCTTTCTATCTAATCTATCTTATTCATGTAGAATTCAATCTTGCATTCTCTCTACGAGGATGGAAATGACAGTAACACTTTCGTTATAATCATCGAAAGCATAAGGGAAGCACAATGGGTTTATGCTGAAAGCATGTGAGAGCAATTTACAAGATAATATAGCAAAATTTTTCCAGCTTTTCAAAAAAAAAAAAGGGCAAAATTTAGGGGCAAAATCCTGATTGTGATCGTGGTAAGCCACGGCACTACACGAACTCGAACAAGGTCAGCGGCACTGCCCCCATCGGGCTTTCCTCCTCTGTTCCTGCCTGGCTTCTCGAAATATCTAGAGCACGATAAACAGAAAGCAAAGAGGATAGGCAAAACACATGTTTTGATAGGGCCGTCAAGATGTCGAGAAATAAAAGAATATTTGATGGCTGTAACAACAGACTGAAGGAAAGCATACGCAAATCCGATGATATCCCAGAGGCTACAAAAAGGCTTGCCGGTTTTGGACAATAAAACCAAGGTACTCTGCCTCTCCACTGCCAAGTAACGCTTTCCTTTTTACATCTGCAAATAAGCTCAGCGATGCAAGCCATCAATGCTATGAACGAAATTAACATCATAATGAGCGCGTAATGAGGGTCATCTTTGGAGGAAAGCTGATCGAAAACCGTTGAAGGGAATTCCAGGGTCAAGTTTGTGATAGGGAAAACCCATGTTACAACATCCTGCATTAAAACAATTTGATTATTAGACATTGTTTTGTAATACTGCTATGCTACTCTTTTTGCTCTAGGGCAAGCAGTTATTTAGCTCTTCTTGCGTTTTAGGTTTAAGAGTTTAAGTTTCAGGATTTTCACATCTATAATTTTTTGTGCTGTTTTTTTTTTGTAAGTGTACGGATTTTCATTGCTCGAATCATATCAATATATCATGGAAAATCTATTGCAATAAATAAAAAATTTAGAATGACATGTGAATGTTAAAATTAATAAAATCACTTTTAAAAAAGAATAATTAGATTATTTAGATGTTAGAGACTGGACATTATAACTAAAATAAAACTCTTGGTTTGGATTAGGTAGACCTTGAAACTCGAGTCATCGTGATTGTTACTGCCTCCGTTTTTTTCATCACCATTGGACACTTGAATATTTTGGCTGCCGAAATCTCTTTCAACATGATCAATTTCTAGCGTTACCTGCTTGGGATCATTTTCGCTGTTAGCATTTGCTTCACTAGCATCCTGCGTTAATAGAATTTGATTATTTAAATGTTAGAGATTAAACATTATAACTAAAATAAAACTGCTGGTTTGGATTTAAGTTTAACCTTTAAACCCCAGCCATTACGATTGTTAGGGAGTTGGTCTTCCTTAGATGAAATACCATTAGCAATCGTTCCATCATGAGCAATCTCTAGCACAGGAATTTTCTTGGTGGCCCGAATTTGGTTCATTTTCATTGGCAGTCGGTAGCTGTTCTGGAAAAGCACCCTACATTAAAAGAATTTGATTATTTAGATGTTAGAGACTAGATATCATAACTAAAGTAAAAAACTCTTGGTTTAGATTCAATTTACTGTCTCTATTTGCTTTATCAACATGCAAATCACTAAATTATAATTTAACATTGTTTCCATTTATAATTACAATAAAAAAATATTGTTTCTTTAAAAAAGTAATTTGAATGATTGAAGTAAGTGAAATATAATATCGGAAACGGTACCTGACAACATAACAAATAAAGATAATTATAATAATATAATAAGAAAATAATGTAAATAAATAAATAAATATATATATAATTAGAGGAAAGTAATTTTCTATAATACCTGAATTTCTTCTTGAAAATAGTAAGGAACGAAATCAGTCTCGCTGTCATGACGTGGATGAAAACTTATTTCTCGCGTTCTCGGTATGAAGTATTTTTTGAATTTGAGAAAAAATTTACGAAATTTAAAGTGACTTTGCAGTAATAGATTTGAAAAAAGTTTATGCATTAAAAGAATTTGATTATTTTAATTTTATGAGATTTTATTTTAATTGAATTGTAATATTTTCTGAAATTTTAAAAAAGAATTGTAAATTTTTTATTAAAAATAAAATATTTTCTTTTATTAATATGAATTATAAGATAAAAAAAAGTAGAGATTGATATTAAAAAAATATTTTTATATTTAATTAGATTTGAGATCCTCAAACTGAACACAGTCCTACTAATTTCCAAACGTCAAGGATGGTAACAAAATATTTTATCTTTTCTAAATTCAAAATATTAGAAACAAAAAAGCGAAGAATAATTTGAAAAATAAGTTTCAGCAGTTGCCAAATTCAACGGACCTTACTGATGCGGGTCGTACCAGTAAACTCGGACCAGTTCGTGCCAGAATGTGGAGCTGGCCGTCTCCGCCGTCTGAGTTCACCACTAACTCTCATCGATTGACTCCATTTTTCCTCCGACGAGTGCTTCTCCTCCACTTCAGAATTCTCATTCAAATGACTCTTCATTTTTTTTTTTGCTTTTCAAATCGCATTCGTTGCAAAAATCGCTTCCTCAGCTTCATCTAAATAGGAGAAAAAGACCATGAAATAATCCAAAATAAGAGAGTCGTCCTCGAAAGGAGGTGGAGGCTTCAGAGACATTTTCTTGGACATCTAATAATTCATAAAGAAAACGAGTGAAATGCTGACACATGATGAAAATAAGATTGCCCCACGATTGTACCAGTCATGTCCTATGTAGTCATGGCATATGGTTACGTAACTTCCAATGATGAATACTTGTTTCCATAATATTATTTAATAAAGATGATCAGATTTTTTTAATGCGAGTGCACTTGAAGATTAATTAATTACACGCACAAATCCATGCAAGAAAAGCCTGCCCAAAGATTAATTAATACAAACAATGCTTTTCAATTATTTTTAATAATTTAATTTTATATAATTATTTTGTAATTAACATAAAAAATGAAATCAAGAAAATTGAACTTGAATGCATGTTCATGAGTTTAAAAATTTTGATTAATTCTATAATTAAATGACTTAATTTTGTTAATTGATCAATGCTTAATTTTTAATCGATTCAATTAATTTTTGGGTGATTTGAGTGTAAGTGCTACCAGTGTTAAACTGTTTGAAACTGTTTTTGTGATCTCTTGAATTTTTTTAATAAATGAACATAAATCATCAAAAAGTTGAATTGTAAATTTCTTATATTATTGTGAGAATGCATAATTTTTTTTTAATTTTATTAATTATATAAGAGCTTAAATGATTCTTTTAAAATTATTCCGTTATTTAAACAACACAAAGACATATAAATCACAAGAATCAAAGAGAATATTTTGAAGTATCAAATAAGAAAGGAAAAATGAATTTGTTCGTTTTTTTTCATTTTTTTTAATTAAAAGGAAGGAGATTCAAACTTTTTTATTTAAATAAAGGATCATACACGAGTCAAATATTCGGGTACAAAATGAATTTGTTTGTTTTTTTGTTATTTTATTTCACTAAGTTTCCCAAAAAATTATGTTCAACAAAGTGGTAGCAACACTCAGCTTACAGGGAAAGAGAGAAGGGGGCTTCTAAGTAAATGCGGTAGCAAGAGATAAGGTTCCAGAAGTTGGAAGAGTAACAGCGGCCGGAAATTTCTTTCATAATTTCATGATCCTTTGAATTTAGATAGATTTTTTGTTGTATTATTAGTAGGATATGGATTTCTTTCCATAATCCCTTCTTTGTGTGTTTTTTTTTAAATGCCATAATCCCTTTTTAAATTATTAGTAGGATTGTGGCCTTGTTGTAGATTAATTTTTAATTATATGACACATAATAATTTAAAAAATATTATATTTTTATTTTAATTGAATAATAATTAATATTTTTAAATTCTAAAAAACATTTTTAAATGTTTTCTTAGTAGAAAAAAAGTTCAGGTTGACATAACAAATAACTTTATTTTTAAAAAGCTTTGAAATTATTAACCTCCCCGATGAATTTCTGCCATGTTTTGTTGTGATTGTGGTAAGCCACGGGACCGCAGGAACTTGATCAAGGCCATCGGTACTGCCCCCCATATTAATCCGTGGGGCTGCCTCCTCTGTTTCTGTCAGGCTTCTCAAAGTATTTAGAGCACAACAAACCGAACGCAAAGAGGATTGGCAAAGCAGATGTTTCGATAGGGCAGTCAAGATGTCGAGAAATAAATGAATAGTTGATGGCTGTAATAACACATTGAAGGAATGCACAAGCAAATCCGATGATTTCCCACAGGGCACCAAAAGGGTTGTCGGTTGGTCGACAATAAACCCAAGGTAAATTGTCTCTCCAATGCCAAGTAACTCTTTCCTTTTCACCATTGTAAATAAGCTCAGCAATGCATGACATCATGCTATGAACGAAAATAACATCACAATGAGTGCATGTTGAGGGTGATCTTTGGAGGAAAGCTGATCGCAAACCGTTGAAGGGAGTTCCTGGGTAAAGTTGCACGTGAGGAAAACCCATGCTAAAACATCCTGCATTAAAAGAATTTGATTACTTAGATGTTAGAGAATATAAATTATAACGAAACTAAAACTGTTGATTTGGATTCAAGTTTAACCTTTAAACACCAGTCATCTTGATTGTTAGGAAGTTGGTATACAACCCCATCAGCAATCGTTAACAGTGGACCATCATCAGCAGCAATCTCTAGCATTTGAATTTCTTGGTGGACCAAATTTGGTTCATTATCATTAGCAATCGGTAGCTGTTCCTGTAAAGCACCCTGCATTTAAAAATTTTGATTATTTAAATGTTAGAGGCTAGACATTGTAACTAAAGTAAAACTGTTGGTTTGTATTCAATTTTGAATCCTGATTGTTACTGCCTCTATTTGCTTCATATATCAACATTATTTCTATTTATAATTACAATAAAATAAAAAATTGTTTTTCAAATAAAAATAGTTTGAATGATTGAAGTAAGTGAAATATAATACCGAAATGACTTCGGGACGACACAATTGCTTTAACAAAATCCTGCAAACAAAAGAGTTTGAATATTTCAATTTTTTTTTTGAGATTTTCCTTAATTTTTTTAACCTTTTTTCTTTTATCATGTTTTTTCTCTTGCTTTTATGACTTTTTATATTACCTTTACTTTAAAAAAATCACAATTTTATTTTAATTGAATAATAATTTTTTTAAATTCTAAAAACCAATGTTAAATATTTTTATGCTAATGTGACTTATAAGATCTAAAAACTTCAGATTAACATTAAAAGAATTTTATTTTTAATTAGATTCGAAATCCTTACATTCCCTCAAAAATTTTTGTTAATTTCCAAACGTTTCACAATTATAAGACAATAATAATAACAAAATTTTATCTTTATTAAATTCAAAATGATAATAAAAAAAATAAAATACTTTGAACTCATAAGGTTAAATACGGAGTAAGCGGCGGGTAAGAGGTAAGATAGAAATATATTTTTTTTAAATGCGAGAGAAAAAAATATAATAATATTTATGTGTCTGACAAAATATATATTTTTAAAATAAAAAGTCTATTTTCAATACGAACTCCCATGATAAAGCAATAGGAAGTTTCGAAATCAGGAACTGGGATTTAAAATCTGACGGACCTAACTGATGTGGCGGCGCGTAGCAGCGAACTTGGAACCGGGAAGCCTCCCTCTCCGCTCCCAGAGGTCACCACCAACTCTTATGGATTTATTCCATTTTTCCTCCGACGAGTGCTTCTTCTTAACTTCAGAGTCCTCATTCAAATGACAATCCATCCTTTTCTTTTTCAGTTTCTTTTTTTGACGTTTTCAAATCGCATTCGTTCATTTAAATAGGAGAAAAATATCTGGAAACTACGAGGGAGACCATCATATAACCCAAAAAGAAGAACAGTAAAAGAAAGCTAGTCGTAATCGGAAAGGAGATGGATGTTTCATAGAGAAAAATCCATGCCAAAAAGAGCCTGCCCATTATCTCCCTACTCCAAGTTAAAAGATTATTACACTTTCTCTGAACAGTTTTCATTTTCTTTTGAGTGGCCAACTGGCAAACCATCACATCATACGTACCAAGAGGGAAACACAACAGGGGATAGGAAAGCCAAGGGAAGGAAGGAGAGTAGTTTAAGAGGGGTAGGAAAGCCGAAAGAAAGAGAGTTGTTTAAAGAGGAGCTGGGCTAACCAAAAAGAGCATTGAATGGTCTGATCAAGACCATTTAATTGGCGGTCTATTGAGTTGAGATGGGCTTTGATTGATTGGCCTGATAAAGGAACCAGTGTTGGCTTGACAGACAAACTGTACTCTTACAAGCACATCGTGCAGCAAGCAGAGCAAAATGTCAAGGATTTGATAATGTACCTGTCCAAATACGCATTCCTTGATCAACTTTCTCTCCGGAGTAGGCGATCAATCTGGTTCAAAACTTTTGTACCGGCTACATTATTCAGAAAATAGAGTGACTTTTACTGTACAGAAGTTTGCTCAATCATGATTATTAGTCCTTTTTTGAGGGATAATAAAGATGTATAATGTAAAATTTGGAGGAAATGAATAATGATACATCCATTATTGTATAAGTAATTTTTTAAATATAGTTTCCCTTTCTTTCTATTCTATCTTATTCTTCAAGTAGAGTTCAATCTTGCTTTCTCTCTAACAAGGAAGGAATGACAGTCAAACTTTCGGTATAATCATCAAACGAGGTAAATCAACCGATGGAGCCTTGTCTCAACTATCGATATTAACAGTCACCTCCTCCTCCTCTTAAACTCACTGCCATGGATTTATTGCTAATGGTAGAAGCATAAAGGAAACACAATTGGTTTATGCTGAAAGCATGTGAGAACAATTTACAAGACAATAGAGCAAAATTTAGGGGCCAAAAGCCTTGGTTGTGATTGTGGAAAGCTACGGTACCACACGAACTTGATTAAGGCCACCGGTGCTGCCCCCATATTGACCCGTGGGGTTTCCTCCACTGTTCCTGTATGGCTTCTCCAAATATTTAGAGCACAACAAACCGAATGCAAAGAGGATTGGCAAAGCACATGTTTTGATAGGGCCATCACCATGTCGGTGAATATAACAATAATTGATGATTGTAGGAATACACTGAAGGACAGCACAAGCCAATCCGATCATCTCCCAGAGGGTACCAAAAGGCTTGCCAGTTCTTGGACAATAAAACCAAGGTACTCTGTCTCTCCACTCCCAAATAACTCTTTCCTTTTTACCTTTGTAAATGAGCTCACCAATGCAAGCCATTAATGTCATGGACGATATCAACATCAAAATGAGCGCGTACGCAGGGTGATGTTTGGAGGAGAGCTGATCGAAAACCACCGAGGGAAGTTCCAGGGTAAAGTTGTTGATGAGGAAAACCCATGCTAAAGCATCCTGCACTAAAAGAATTTGGCTATTTAGATGTTAGGAGACTAGACATTATCACTAAAATAGAACTGTAGGTTCGGATTCAATTTTGACCTTTAAATTCGAGCCATTACCGCCTTTGTTTGTTCCAAAATGAAGTTGTTCTTGCTCAAATACAACATCATCACCAATTATTAGCCTCTTCCTTTTTCTTGGACGAAGGTAGCTAGCATTACCATTAGCCACCTGAATTTCTTGTCTGCCAAAATTTGCTTCGACAGAACCTGCATCAAAGAGATCAACATTCTTGAATGGCCTCCGCAAATCTTCCCAGTTGTAGTTATTATCTTGTTGTTGAAATTCAAGACCGTACTTCCGATTTGGCAGTATCCTCTCCGCTTCGTCAGAGAGGCTGTCAAGACAACTGGTTTCAGGTAGTGAGTGTTGTGTCTCCTTAACGAGGGTGTCACTAATCAAGTCCCGGACCATGGCCGGCGATCGTTGTCTTGCTTTCATCAAGGAATCGATGTAAAATTAGAATGCGTAGGGAGCAAAATGAACCTAAAATCCCGAGACATATAGGTTCTCGACGTATCAAATGATTAGAAAACAAAAATGAATTTGTTGTTTTTTCACTAACTTGCATGGAAATTCTTTTACAGCAAAACTCAGTTAACTGGAAAAAAAGACATGGAAGAGACTTCTAAGTAAACGCCGTGGCGCGAGGGAAGGATAAGTAGGGAAAAAATAATGTAAATGATGATGAATTCTACGTGAAATTGACTTTAGTACACTTCATGATGACGTTTATTTGATCTATTTTACTGTAAGTTATTTTTTATTTATGAAAAAAGAATTCGAATATTATTTTTTTAAAAAAAATTATATTCTAAGTAATGAATTAAATGTTATGATGTACTTTACTAAAAACTATTGCGGTAATTGTTGTTCTGTTTTTTCTTAGAATGAGGTTTGAAACTTTGACTACAGTTACGCGTTTTTTAACAAAAGAGAAAAGCCCCTAAGATCACGCTGGGGAAAAGAGAATTTGCCGGTGAAGGTTAGTGCTTTTATTAACTTCCCGGAAAATGAATAAGAGAGAGATTTCTGACAGAGTTAAGAAACGCTGTGGTACACGCGCTGCCACGTGGCTCGACGGAAGTATGACTAAGAAAACAGGAATGGTGAGATTTGAAAGGAAAGGATTATTATCTTATATATTTGCTTCACATAATGTTTAAATAAAATTTTAAATTATTTAAAATATTTTAAATTTTAAATTTTTATTATATTTAATTAAATTTTTATAATTTTATTTTAAATTAAATAAATTTTTTAATTAATAATTAATTAATTATCATTAATCAAAATACTTTTTATCAATTTATATCTACATAATATTGACATGACATTAATATGAAAGATAAAAAAATCACATATTCGTGTTATGATATTAAATTAACATATCACGCTGTTATCAATTATAACATGTCAGTATATCATTTCATCACGAATTATAATATGTCAACATGTCACGTAAATATCATTCAATACAAAATGATAAATAATATTTTAACTAAGTCAATCATCAATTGTAAAAGTTTACTTAATTTAAAATAAAAATATAAAAATTTATTTGATTTAAAATATAAATATAAAAATTTATTTAAAATTTTTAAATAATTTAATTTGTTTTGAGATATTTTGCCTATTTATTTTGATAAAGGTAGATCATTTCCTAACTGTGTAACCTCTTTGTCGCTTGGTTTAATAATTTAAGTATGGATGTTTTATTTTTCTCATATTAATTTTAATTAATTTAATCTCACATTTTAATTAAAAATTAATTTAAGAATAATTAAAATAACATAATATATAATTAAAATAACCTAATATAGTATAATGTAAAATCCAAAAAAAAAAAACTATAAGGAAGTAAATTTAAACTATAAGATCAAAATAAAGTAAGTTTAATTTTTTAAAATTTTCAAAAACAATTTTAAATATTTTTATTAAAAAATAAAAATAAGTCTCCATTTATTTTACGATGTTTCCAAGTGGCTTTCGTTCCTAGAACCGCTTTATCAGTTTTAAGATGGATAAGAAGTAAACCGTATGAGTTTCCGATTAAGCCATAAAGAATGTTTCACCTACAGTTTCCTGGAACTCCAGAAGGGGAACTCGGTTAGTCGGTGCCCGTTAAATAATTCAAAAAGAACATAAAAATACGAGAATGTAAATTTTTATGGAATTTATGCAGCAAAGAGTCGAGTCCAGGAGAGGCATTTTTGTTCAATTGAGGTCAAAAGGAATTCAAGATAATGGAGTGGGAATGGCATGTGTGTGTGGTCTGCGCCCAGTCAGACCCATCTTGACTGGGAAATTGAGCAGAACTATCAAGTATACTCATTGGTAGGTGCTTTAAACGGAATATTTTGATTCAGTCCAACGATGGGAGTGGGTTGTCTCCTTCTAGAAAGAAAACCATCAAAGTGAAATTGTTGATGATTCCGATTGAAAGCCTTTCCAGAACAATCATTAGACTTGTCTGAAAAATTGAGTGCCCAACTGATCACAAAGCAATCTAAGATTGGCTTTGTAAACTAGTGGCAAGAGGGAAAACACGGAAATAATCAAGAACATCATAATCATTCCTTCAGAATTGCAACAAACAATGGTGAAATGTCATCCATGGAGGAAAATTTTATCATGTTTCTGAAGCATTGTCCTCTGCTACATTCAAAACCCACAATGTTGTGATGTTGGAGAGTAGCTAATGTTATCAGAACTAAAAAATTCACTGCCGTGAGGATATAGAAACCCAGGAACTGATAACCTGCAAAAGCCAATAACACCTAACTACAGTAAGCATTCATGTTCATAGAGTGCAACCGGGTGCCTATAGAAAAGTGAAAACATCTAATACCCACGGATCATCTTCATTCTTGGCATTGCTCTCTTCATCTGAAGAGCGCGATCTTTTGCTTCTTTCTTTCAAACCGCTTCTGTACTGAGCTTTGCGATCAGCCTCCTCTAGCATCTTTTTCCTCTCTGCCTTCTTTTTCTGCAAGGCTTCTTGCCTAGCATTTTAAAGTTCTTTGTATGCCTCTTGAGGAGCCTTCACTCTAGCTGCTTCATTTTTGCATTGAGCCTGCAATGGTAAGTAAAGAAAAGTAATGCACAATTTTAAGAACATTATCAAATTGACATATTGTATGTTTGATACCATAAAGTAACTTCCAGCTGACCCACCTGTGAGCTGAGCTTGCACTGCCCAGTTAAATTGCTGTGGTATGGTGCAAGACCCACCAAGCGAATCATGTCAGCCATGCGGCTGGCATCAGGGAGAGCTGAATTCTCTGTATGATGGCAGAATTTGGAGGTAATCAGTAATGATTTATCCATTGTTGTACCAGAAAATAATTTTTGAAATATATACTCAACCATCTTTACATTCACCCTCTCTTCCTCTTAGTAACCTAGCTAATTAATGCTGAGCCAAAAAAAAAAAAACCTAGCTAATTAATTCCTCCAGAGTAATTTCTAACCTCAATAATCTCATGCTTTATACCAGCTGACTCTACTGTCTGTAGCAAACTGAGCTTAAACTCACAACCATGGATACATTGATAATGGTAGAAGGCATTATCAAGGTAATATAGCAAAATTTGGCGACAAAAACCTGATTGTGATTGTGGTAAGCTATGGTACCACACGAACTTGATCAAGGCTACCGGTACTGCCCTCATATTGACCCGTGGGGTTTCCTCGTCTGTTCCTATCCTGCTACTCCAAATACTTAGAGCACAAACAAACCGAAAGCAAAGACGATTGGCAAAGCACATGTATTGACGGGCAGTCCATGTGTCGATTAATAAAATAACAATTGATGGCTGTTGGTATACACTGAAGGAAAGCACAAACAAATCCCATGATCTCGCAGAGGGTACCACAAGGCTTGCCAGTTCTTGGACAATACAACCAAGATACTCTGCCTCTCCACTCCCAAGTAACTCTTTCCCTTTTACCTTTCTAAATGAGCTTACGATGCAAGCCGTCAGTGATACGAACGATATCAACATCACAATGAGCGAGTAATGAGGGTGCGTTTTGGAGGAAAGATGATCCAAAACCACTGAATGGAGTTCCATGGTAAAGTTGGTGATGAGGAAAACCCATGATTAAGCATCCTGCAGTGAAAGAATTTGGTTGTTCAGATGTTGGAAGACTAGACATTATAACTAATATAAAAGTACTGCTGGTTCGGATTAAATTTTGACCTTTAAACGCAAGCGATCGTGATTGTTACTGCCTCTGTTTCAACGAAGTTGGTCTTAGTCAAATACATCATCACCGCCAAGTGTTATCCTCTTTCTTTTTCTTGGACGAAGGTAGCCAGCATTACCATTACTCGTCTGAATTTCTTGTCTGCCCAAATCTGGTCGGGCAAAATTACCAGGCGCTAGATCATTGAAAATAATGTTAAGAGGAAATGACCAAAGCTTAAAGGCTGGCACAGACATTGACAGGGGAGAGGAAGTTGATTTAAGTATGGTGGAAGCAATGGATGTTGAAAACCAGAATTCTTATGCCAAAATCGTTGGTTCTGATGTAGAGCAAGATGTTAAAGTTCAAGAAGATTCTATTAAAGTTGAGACAGTGGGCGTTGGCACTGAAAATCACGAAAATGCATGTGAAGGTTCAGAATTGTTAGGTCACCATAAAGATGCATTCGTTGGTAGTGATGGAGGTGAAGTATTGAAGGTCAATAACAATGTTTCAAACCAAATATCTACCGCTGTTGCTTCAGATAAGGTCTTACATTTCTCGGGAAATGAAGATCAGCTAGCTAAGAGTTCAGCTTCTGAGGAGGATTCAAGTGTAGGGCAAGATATGTATGTTGAAGAACAAGTTACTGGTGCTGAACAAGATGGTTTAGACCAAGTGCAAGAAATGGAAGTTGAAGAACATGATACTGATTCTGAACCCAACTAACATTGATGAAAAGACTGTCAAACGGACAGCCCTAGAGTCTGCGAGTGCAGTAAAGGTCCATCAAGCTAAGTACCGGCTGATGTCAGAGGAAGAAGGTCAGTTTTCTGTGTCTGGTTTAGTTTGGGGTAATGTGAGGAGCCATCCGTGGTGGCCAGGACAGATATTTGATCGATCAGATGCTCCCGAGGAGGCGGTGAAGTATCATAAGAAGGATTGCTTTTTGGTTGCCTACTTTGGGGATCGAACTTTTGCTTGGAATGAAGCATCTCTTTTGAAGCCATTTCGAACTCATTTCTCTCAGATAGAGAAGCAGAGTAATTCAGAGTCATTCCAGAATGCGGTCAATTGTGATTTCGAAGAAGTCTCTATACGGGTAGAGCTAGGTTTGGCTTGCTCTTGCATGCCGCAGGACTCCCATGAGAAGATGACATTTCAAAAAATTGAGAATGCGGAAGTTCAGCAAGAATCAAGTATAAGAGATGGTGTTGATGTGTCTCTGAGTGCTAGTTCTTTTGAACCTAACAAATTAGTTAGCTACATGAAAGCCTTAGCAGAGTCTCCACCTGGTGGCGGTGATCGGCTTGACTTTGTTATGCTAAAGCCCAATTGTTGGCCTTCTATCGTTTAAAAGGTTATCATCAGCTGCCCGAATTCCAAGTTTGTGGAGGGTTAAGTGAAAACGAAGCAAATACCTCGCATTCTGAAGAGAATATATACTTTGGCGAGGAAATTGAGCATAAAACTCCTATGGAGACAAATGTGGAGCAAATTTCCACTAGTCAGGGGACTTCAAAATCTCAGAGAAGCTCTTACCTTAAACGTAAGCGTAATCTGAAGGATGGATTATATCCTGGTAAAAAGGAAAGAAGCTCGTCTGAATTGATGGGTGAGACATTTGATTCTCCTGATGTTGAAAATGGGACTGATGGGACAGCTAATAGGCTCCCTTCATCATCATCTGGCAAGAAAAGAAAGGCTGTTGATTCCTTCGAGGACTCAGTGGTGCAGGAAGGGAGGAAGACAACTTTCCTTGCCAAAGTATCTTTAACCACACCTCATTTCCCAAAGCCATCGTTCAAAATTGGTGAATGCAACCGTAGAGATGCTAGCCAAATGACTGGATCTCCGTTGATTCCGAAGGGTATGCTTGATGGAGGCAGTGAAAATCCTCTTGCAGATGGATATGATGTTCCCTTTCATAATTCCGACGATGCCCAGCGAAAGAGGATGAATGTTACAGCTGAATACTCATCACTGGATAAGTTGCCATCACAACTTCACTTGGCAGCAAGTGATCCGATTAAAAGTTAAAGTTCGTTTAATGTTTGTATTGGCTTCTTTTCTGATTTCAGAGATTCACTGGTTGTGGATCAGCGTCGAGGGGACAAAGCAGGTGGCAAAAGGAAGAAGTCACCCAATTCTACCTGTGGGTCTCCAGAAGCTTTTGAGTTTGAGGACATGAATGACACTTACTGGACTGACAGAATAGTCCAAAATGGTTCCGAAGAGCACCCATTAAATGGAAAATGGAAGGGGACAATATCAAATTGTGCCTGTTGAATTAGAGAAACCACTCAAAAAAGGCCGTAAGTCACGGAAACGATATTCTGATGTCAATCATGATCGGACAGCAGAAAAACCCCCCTGGCTATGTTGATGAGAGGGCCGCAGCAGAACTTGTTATGAACTTCTCTGAGATTAATTCTGTTCCTTCATAAACAAAGCTAAATAAGATGGTCAATAACTCAAGTATCATATCATAATAATTAATAAGTTTAGTTTATTTACTTATTTTATTTTTAATATTCTGAATTTTAAAATTTTTTATTTAATAATCTTTATTGATAATTTTGATTTAAGATTTACCATCTTAACCATTTTTTTTTTGAAAGTAACAAAGTTATGGTAATCTGATTTTTTTTTGTTTGAAAATATTCAACAAAATGTGTTTGCAAATTTATGCAGAGAGTCATTCATCATTGCATTGTTATTTCCTGTCACTAATAAATTATCAATCTAGACCAAGAAAAGTAAGCTAAAATATTATTCTTGACGTAAATAAATAAGCACAAGCATGATGAACGCTGAGTTGTTAAAACCAACAAGCTCGAGGTTAGGTCATAGATAACCTCGTGCAGCATATTTACCTGACGAAGCATGTCTTTATCAGTGAATAGTGTGTTTATTAATTGACCTTTTTTCAAAGCTCCAATATTCTTTCTGATGGATCGAAGCTCCAAATATTAAACAAATAGAAATCCTTAGCGCCTGACGTATATTCACAATGTGATTGCCTGTGAGGCGGTGGGATTGACTTGTACATACGGGTGGCATTTGAAAATGATTTTATACAAATTTTTTTATATTTGTACCTTATAGACAACCCCAACCCTGAAAGCTTTAGAGTTGGACCAAACTAATTAATTACTAAGAGAATGCTGTATAAGTTTTAGGTGTGTGTCTGTCAATTTGGAAACATTCATATATCTTAGTTAATTATTGGGCATAGGTATCTGGAAGTGATATATATGTAGAGACAATCGGGTTTGAGTTTAATATAAAAACAAAGTAAAGAATTAATAAGCACCATGAGGAAAAAAAAAATACAAATTCATCTAAATTCGTCCCCGTCTTGTAAAAAACATCTCGATTAAATTTGACAAGTGAGTATGCAAAAATATTTACTTCTTAGTAGATGCGCACAAAGCTGAAATTTCCAATTTCTTCCAAACGGTATTGATTTCATTGAATATGCGACAATAAATCCATGACTCTTGTCCTTCATCACATACTCATGAAATCGAAACTTTTGAATTTGATTCAATAACCAACCTTTTAAGTCTAGATACCAGCTCAAAACATCTCAAAAATCTCCTGATTAAGCTTGATAAAGTCTCTTACCAATGGATTAGAATCCTCCAAAAACTGATTGGGTTCCTCTGATGGCATTTTTCATAAGAAAGAAAGGCAGGAGTATATGCTAGTAATTCTTAGCAATATGGTACTTGTCTGTTTC